ATCATGTGGGGGGACGGAGGGGAATTGGGGGGGGGGTTTGTTCATGTTTTTGTCTTTTTAATACTGTCGGTTTATCTTCATCTTTTCTACACTCGTCTCTGAAGGGCTTGTACAGAGTTCAGGGATTCACCTGCACGTTCAGGTAGGGGCGGGGCCAGGGGGGTGTGTGGACAGATCGTAGGATGCGGGGGGGTTGTGAGGTGGGGGCAGGGTCATTGGTGTGGGGGAGGGGTTAGGGGGTGGGATCTTGGGGAGTTTCTGGATTAAAAGTTTATTTTTCAGCGTTCAGTAACGACATTGATACTCATGATGATGATGACGACGATGTTCATGTGACTGTTTTGAGCCAATCATGTCTTCTCTCATGCATTCCTGTCAGACGACAGACTGTACTGAAGATTTCAACAAAAAAATGCAAATAAATGTTTTGAAAACTGACGCCAGATCAGGCTTTTGCTTTCTTCCTGCTTCTGTTACTGTGGCAACAGTGACAGTTCAGGGGCACGTTCAACCCCAACAAAGCGTAACAAAATGTTTATTTAAATGGAAATGGAGGTGCGCTGAACACCCTGTAATGTTAATGTTGTGCATCTCCAGGTCTGAAACAAACAGCAAACACTGAAGTGACAAAAGCTGCAGTCCCTCTAACGACCACTAGAATCTGGCTCCAACAGTGAGTTGATCCAAATAGACTCCCATGTTAAAATGTCCAACTTTACAGCAGAAATAAACTAAATTTATTCCTCACACTCTGATGAATATTTTATTACTCACTCACTGACGCAGGTCAGTCACCTGTCAGCCAATCATCTCATCAAACTGCTGGCTGCTGTTTGCTTTGTGACTCTGCAGTTCGTCTACTTAAGTAATGAGTAACCAGGTGTGTTCTGTTCCATACAAACATGGTAATATTATCTGCGCTGTGATCACTGGGATGAATATGAAATGTTTAGAGCTGTTTCTCTCTCTCTTGGACTTTTTGGTGCAAGCAAGAGCAATTTTTAATCTGTTGAATTGCGTTCAGTTTTTCAGCCCTGAGTACTGTCTGCAGGTATTCCTCTCAGGCTGCATAACCCAGACAACCTTTACCACTAAGTTGGCAGACCACATGTAGCCTGAGAGACTAAAGTCTGATCTCTACATCTAAACCTGATCAGATGCTCTGACTGTGAACTCCCGTGTTTTGTTCTGTCAGTCATTCACAACCTGAAGCTATTGGAGCGCTGTGGCTTTAAAATGATTTCACACACTCAGGATGGATGCTGCTTTTATTAAAGTCCACAGAGGCGAGACACTCTTCCATTCAAAATCCAGAAACTGCAAATATTCATGTTGACACACTGAGCTCAGACAAACACCACCCTGCATTATGGGAAATATCCCTCACAGATTTATTTGACATCATATAGTTTGATGATGTCACTGTTTCCCGGTCTGCGATTGGTCAGGCGTTGCAGCGGTTGGTTTGGCAGCAGGTCCAGCCAGCTCGAGCGCAGTTAGCCATCCGAGTGCAGCCTTTCTCTCCATTATCTGCAAACAGGAAACGCATCATCTGATCCTCAACACTCTTCACAGTGAATGTTCTCAAAGAGATCCAGCTGCAAATCCAGCTGTGAAGATTTATTTAATGTCCTGATGTTCATAGTCACTTTCAGATTATATTCTTAATGATTCAACTTTTAATTTGAAAGTATAACAGGATGTACATGACCCTGAACAGGTGAGGATGTAGTTAAAATTCACTTGTTATAAACAAAGTTTCTGTTCATATTCAGTGTTTCTTAGGGAAGCCCTGCCAGGATGAATTTTTCTTTTTTCTTTTTCATCTGTGTAAACACCTCCGAGATTCAAGTGATTTTATTTTCTGGGGAAAAGCAGCAGGTAGAAGACTCACCTCTGGTGTAGCAGGCCTGTTGGACTTTGCCGGTGCAATGCAGAAGCTGGTTGTTGACCATGAAGAAATCCTCGCCATAACACTCAATGTGATGCTGTTCACCTGCAACACAAACACACTTTACTGTGTTATCGTACCTTCAGATTAAAGAGTTAAGTGTGTGAGTTTACCTTCAGATTAAAGTGTAAAATGTATACCTGAGCAGAGAGGCAGCAGAAGCAGCAGCAGCAGGTAAGCCTTCATGTTTCTAGTTTTCTGTCAGTGCGACTGAACAAACAGAAAAAACTGAGCCGAGCTGAACAATGTGGGACTTTTATCTCCTGCTGAAACACACAGAGGTGAACAGACAGATAACTGATCTAAAGACAAACTGATCTGAACTCATATCACGTTGCCCTGTTGTTTGTCTAAACTTTGATCAGTCCCAAATTTGTGTGGTGTTTAGCTGAGTCATGTATTGACATCAGCTTTGACAGTAAGCTGATTCTAGTGAGTCAAGACTGGACAGCAACTGTATACGATGGTCAGATAATCTGAAGGTAGCAGTCTCTAAGGGGCTGTTAATGACTTGCTATACTATTACAGTTTTTGATATTTTTATGCCTTACATGCTTTACCCTAATTGTTTGCTGTCTGTCTGATCATACATGCAAATGTCTGTTAATGTCTATATATGTATCTGTGCTGCAGAGTATAACACACTGTACTGAAGAAAAATTCCACCGGCCTTGGTGGTGTGGCTAATAAACAATCTTAATCTGAATCTTACTATGACGTTTTTTGACGTTTTCATACCCTAATATACTATAATGTTCGTTGAGGTTTATATGCCTTATAATACTATAATGTTTTTAGACATTTTTATGCCCTACTGTGCTATGACGTTTTATGTCTTACACTATGACTTGTTATGCCTTACACCTATTACAGTTTTTAACGTTTTAATATCTCAGTGTAACTTTCACATTTCTATGGCTTATTATAATATTACGTTTTTTGTCGTTTTTATGCCTTGTTATGCTATGACTTTTTTTGACATTTTTACGACTTACTACACTATGACGTTTTTTGACGTTTTTATGCCTTACTATACTATTACGTTTTTTGACGTTTTTATGCCTTACTATACCATGAGTTTTTCTGATGTTTTTATGGCTTACTAAACTGACGTTTTTTGACATTTTTATACCTTACTGTTCTGTGAGTTTTTATGCCTTACTACATTATAAAATGTTTTGACATTCTTAGGCCTTACTATTCTATGAAGTTTTTATGCCTTACTATACTATTACATTATTTTTTACATTTTTACGCCTTACTATACTATTACGTTTTTTTTTACATTTTTATGCCTTACTATATATGACGTTTTTTGACATTTTTATGCCTTACTATAATATTAAATTTTTTTGATATTTATATGCCTTACTATACTATTACGCTTTTTGACGTTTTTACGCCTTAATATACTATGACGTTTTTTGACGTTTTTATGCGTTATTATACTATGACGTTTTTTGATATTTATATGCCTTACTATACTATTATCTTTTTTGAAGTTTTTACGTCTTAATATAGTATGACGTTTTTGACGTTTCTGACTATGTCGTTTTTATGCCTTACTATACTATGACGATTTTTATGACTTTTTATGTCTTACTATACTATGTTGTTTTTATGACATTTTATGCTTTTCTGTACTGTCGTTTTTATGCCTTACTATACTATGTCGTTTTTATGCCTTACTAAACTATGACGTTCTTATGCCTTTTTATGCCTTACTGTACTATGTCGTTTTATCAATCTTTTTGCCTTACTATACTGACATTTTGATGCCTTAGTATACTATGTTGTTTTTATGACTTTTTATGCCTTACTATACTATAACGTTTTTATGCCTTACTATGCTATGTCATTTATGTGACTTTTCATGCCTTACTATACTATATCGTTTTTAAGCCTTTCATGCCTTACTATACTATAATGTTTTTTTCACATTTTATGCCATACTATACTATGTCATTTTTATGACTTTTTATGCCTTACTATACTATAACGTTTTTATGCCTTACTATGCTATGTCATTTATGTGACTTTTCATGCCTTACTATACTATATCGTTTTTAAGCCTTTCATGCCTTACTATACTATAATGTTTTTTTCACATTTTATGCCATACTATACTATGTCATTTTTATGACTTTTTATGCCTTACTATACTATAACGTTTTTATGCCTTACTATGCTATGTCATTTATGTGACTTTTCATGCCTTACTATACTATATCGTTTTTAAGCCTTTCATGCCTTACTATACTATAATGTTTTTTTCACATTTTATGCCATACTATACTATGTCATTTTTATGACATTTTACGCCTTACTATACTTATGTCGTTGTTATGCCTTACTCTACTATGACGTTTTTATGCCTTACGATGCTATGTCATTTTTGCGACTTTGTATGCCTTACTATACTATGTCGTTTTTATGACTTTTTATGCCTAACTATTCTATGACGTTTTTATGCCTTACGATGCTATGTCATTTTTGCGACTTCGTATGCCTTACTATACTATGACGTTTTATGCCTTACTATACTATGACGTTTTATGCCTTACTATACTATGACGTTTTATGCCTTACTATACTATGACGTTTTATGCCTTACTATACTATGACGTTTTATGCCTTACTATACTATGACGTTTTATGCCTTACTATACTATGACGTTTTATGCCTTACTATACTATGACGTTTTATGCCTTACTATACTATGACGTTTTATGCCTTACTATACTATGACGTTTTATGCCTTACTATACTATGACGTTTTATGCCTTACTATACTATGACGTTTTATGCCTTACTATACTATGACGTTTTATGCCTTACTATACTATGACGTTTTATGCCTTACTATACTATGACGTTTTATGCCTTACTATACTATGACGTTTTATGCCTTACTATACTATGACGTTTTATGCCTTACTATACTATGACGTTTTATGCCTTACTATACTATGACGTTTTATGCCTTACTATACTATGACGTTTTATGCCTTACTATACTATGACGTTTTATGCCTTACTATACTATGA